CCCTCCCCCCGTTCCTCTTCCCCCGCCACCTGTATCTTCTCAAACATGTTGAGCACGGGGATGCCCGCGGCCGCGCCCGCCGCTACTGCTGTGGCCGAGAAATTCTTGGCCAACTCGAACTTGCGATCCGGGGGGGAGTCGGGGTACTGCGGCGGTGCGGGAAGAGGAATGATAAGGACATGATGGGAGGGGGCCAACAGGGGCCATGCGAGCCAGGGCACACGAGGTAGCGCGACGCACGCCGCGAGAGAGGAACGCATGCACGTGTGCGTGTCAACACGGCGCACGAGCCACAGATGTTGACATGCAGGGAAGGGGAACCATGGACACAGCAAGCTGCACTGAGGTGGCACAACGACATAATTGGAGGCAGGCGCCGCGCCCTAAACCCTCAACCCGCCCAAGCAACGAGAGCGACAAAAGCGCAAGCCATGCGCAGAGCGTGACGGGCCTGTCACACGAGTCACGCAGCCGCACCTCTGGCCTGGACTTGCTGCGCTTGGCGTCGTCCACGGGCGGCGGCGTGACAAACATCACGTTGGCAGCGCCGGCGGCCTGCGGCCGGCGGTTGATCAAGCCAGCTCGAGGCGAGGGGCGAGCGCTGATCATGGCGCCCCCAGACGCTTTGCGGACAGCAGGCATGCCGCGGCGGATTCCGCTCGTCTGGCTTGCAGGAGGGTGATCAGAGCGACTGGCCGAGCCACTGGCCCCGGCAATGAGGCTTCTGCGTTGCTTCGGGACGCCCCCGCCCCCCATCGGGCGCTAGGCCTCACCTTCAGATCGGCCGCTATCTTCCTGATGTTGTCGGCGTACGTCTCAGGCGGCACATACATGAACCCCCTGGACGGAAGAGACAAATGGACCAGATCGGACTGTGGGCTTATCCTGTGGACTGCGCACTGGAAATGTGCCCCAGACCCCCCAAAAAACAGTAGATTCGACTGAAAATGATACAGCAGGTTTGATTGTTTGGTCTGAATCCGGAGCCCGTCAGCAGCGCCGAAGACCCCGCGCCAAAGGTGTCTCACTGGGGCCCGTCGGGGGTGGCGGCGTCGTTGGTGCCGAACCACACCACGGCCAGCAGTGTCCTGCCAAGGTCTATGGTCTCCAGGATCTCTGGGAGGATCTCCAGGCCCTGCTTGCTGGTGTAGCCGCCAAAGCCGCGGTTGATAACGTCAGCCTGCGAGGATGGCGAGTAGCAAGAGGTGGGAGATGTGTGTGTGTGTGTGTGTGTGTGTGTGTGTGTGTGTGCGTGTGCGTGTGTGTGCGTGTGTGTGCTTGCGCTTGTTCAGGACGCGCCCAAAGCCCAAAGTTGGGAGCGCACGCATGCTCCGCACGTGTTGGGTGGTCAGCATGTGTGTGTGAGAGTCGAGGTGCGGGCGGTTCGGTCACGATTGAGGATATGACCGGGGCAGAATTGTACCCCGCCATCACTGAGCACCCCACGCTCCTCGGGCAGCTTTGACGCAGGCGGGCCGCGCCCTTGCGGCGTGCGCCCAGTGAATTGACACGGCCGCTCACCCTACGTTTGTAGCGGTCCGCCAGAGCATTAGACCAGCCGCTCGCAGGGCTGGTGCCCAGCTCAGTCAGGCTGTCGCCAAACTGCACATTGGTGGGGCAGTTTGCGGTGGGTCCGGGGGGGGGGGGGGCGGGGACTTGGGGTGATGAAAGCACGACCGATGGGCACGGATCAAGGGATGATTGGGAGAGGCTGCTGCATGCAAAGGAGGGCCAAAATGTGTGCGTGGTGCCAGGCCGAGAGTGTGTGCCGCAAGGACTGCAGTGTGCAGCCGGGCCACCGCTTCTGCTGCGTCGCAGCTCCGTGCGAAGCGGCACCGGGTAGGGGATTGGCCCAAGCGCAGGGCCCGTCGCACCAGCAGGATGTTGGACCTATGCCAAGTGTGCGCCGGCGGCACCGCCCGCTTCTGGCCAGGCGGGAGCCTTGCCAGGCTTTCGTCGGGCACAAACCGCCCGACCCCCTGCAGCGCCTGCTGCGGCTGCTGGTTCGCAGGCGCCTGCGGGCTCGGAATGGCCGCCGTCCGCGTCTGCGCGTAGATTGGCTGCAGCAGGGCTACCGCGACCAGCACCGTCGCCGCGACGACCGCGGTTCGCGCCCACACGTGCGGGGTGGCCGGGCCGTGCGTGCAGCTGCGGCGAGCTGTGGCGTGCACTGCCAGTGGCCCCGCAACGCAGGGACTGCCGACCGGGGCCATCTTATTAATGAAACTTATGCTGCACAGCCAACACCGGTCGTCGAACGCGCCGTCCCGTCGGGTGGGCGACGTTTTCAAACGGGCTCCAGTGATCAAATACGGGCACGCGTCCAGCCCCCTATTTTATGTACATACTGAATGCTCCTAGCGTATGTAGGACATTGTGCATCTACGATATCACCCACGCGTTCTTTGACCTGACCTGAAAAGACACCCACGCGTTTCCAGGTCAGGTGCAGGCATCCCGGGCCCGTTACCTACAGCGTCGTGCAATTAACACCCAGGCACCGGCACAGCGCATCGCACGTGGCTACCGGAGGGGAGGGGCTTGAAGTGGCAAGCTTGGTCTCTGCACGCAGCTGCGCAGGCACGGTGAGCGCGGCCAAATCGCAACGGCGCGGCGCTGCACGCCCAAAGGGGTTGGGCTTGAGCACACGGCGCCGTCTAAAATCCATCGGCGCTGCCTGCTTGCTGTGGTGTTGTGCATGCGCTGGGTGAGAAGCACTGCTGTCACGGCAGGGCGCGACACAGAGGTCTGGGCTCAAAAACAGCACTACGAGTGTGCGAGCGCGTCTTTGCCTTTTCTCTTCTTCGCTGTAAAGGGTCCCATTGTCACTCGTACCAGTAGCAGGCGGCTGCTAAGGCCGTGGCAGCGATGACGGGCGCTAGGTGGGCCCTATTGGTCCTGATGGCGGTCTGCACCCTGGCTGCTTCGGGCGTGCAAGGTGACCATGCGGAATGCGGGTTTGGGGGGCAGGGAGGGGGTGAGGCTGACAGGTTGATGCATAACCTCAGTGGAGCATCAATTGCGAGCTGCGAGAAGCCGACACCGCACGGGGCCGCAGCCGTCGATTCCGCGTCGTGTTGGCAACAATTGGGTCAAGCCAGCAGACCCGTTCAACCCATCCACTGATGCGCCTCGCACCCACGCCTTCCCCTCTCTCACCGCCACGCTTTGAACATCAGCCGCCAGCAGAGAATCCTCCCCCGCTGTTGATGGTGCCTACAGTTTGTTCAGGCCCATGATCCTGCTGCTGGGCGACTCTATCACCGAGTTTGGCGGGCAGGACGGCGGCTGGCAGCAGCTGCTGACGCGGGACTACATCAGGAAGGTGAGCAGGCACAGCTACTTGGAAGGCTCATGCATGCAAGAGGGCGGTGGAGCTGGTGGGAGGGCGGGAGTGGCGAATGCGGCCGCAACAAACTCGGAGCTTGTGCAACAGCGTACGTCTCTCTCAAAAGCTGGTGAGGTGCTCACAGTGCGAGCGAGCACTCCCTCGAAAGTGCAACTCGTGCTGACTGCTGCTTAGCGTGGTTGAGGCGGACAATTGCTGGTATTGCAAACAACCGCTCACCCCTCGCTCTCCCAGGCTGACATCATCAACAGGGGTTTTGGCGGCTACAACTCCCGTTGGGGCACTTTCCTGGTTGACGACATTTTCACCTCCTTTGGCAGCAGCCGCATCAAGCTAGCAACCGTCTGCTTTGGCGCCAACGACGCGGCAGCGCCCGAGCTGTCCGCGTGAGCCCCTGGTGATGTAGGCAGGCCGTGCTGACTATGGGCTTGAACCAAGCTGTCCAAGTGGTGTGTGTGTTCATGTGTGCGTGCGTGCGCGCACACACGCATGTGTGTGTATGTGTGCGCGGTGAGGTGGCATTGAACATTCGGCGTGGCTGCTGCTGTAGCTCATTGAACATCACAACAACTGACACCAGGCTGTTCCTTGGTGGTGATTGCAAAATCCTCAACACCCAGGGGCTACCTCTCTGTTCCTGTCGAAGAGTACAGTGCCAACCTCAGGTGCGGATGTGGCGGTCTTGTCCCACACACACAGCAAAATCCGACTGTGGTGTTTGACTGCAATGATTCCAGCCAAGAGGTGTACTCTGAGGGCGGACTCACAACCTACTATGGCTTTGTGCCTGCCTACACAACCCCGCAGGGCCATCATATCAAAGCTGAAGTCCAAGGGCGTTGAGCGGATCATAGTCATGTCCCCGCCCCCTGTTGATGACACCAATCCCCGCTACAAGGTGGGGCCCTGAGAACAAATGCTTTTCAGCCCAGCAATACGCCCTGCATCACTTCACCTTCGCATGGTAAGCGCGTCAAGCCAAACAGTCTCTCTCATGTTGCAGGTGGAACCCAAGGATTGCTTTGGATTGCCATGGCTGGCGCTCATGCCGGGAGCTTATGTGCTTGCCTCGCGTCATCACCGCTCGTGTGCTCGCAGGACGGCTCTCGCTCAACCGAGCGCGTCAAGCCATACGCAGACGCGGCGGTGGCGGTGGCTCGGGACCTTGGGCTGCCGTTTGTGGACCTGTTCAATAAAATCCAGGTCGGCTGAGAACAACCACCAATGATGACAGGGTGGTGGCAAGGGGGAGGCTGCACACCGCAGCGACACACGTCTTGCTGCTCGCATATGCAGAAATAGCCGCGCGAGGCCATGCCGCCGCGCCAGCGCTGCCGTTCATGGAAAGCAGAGGTTCTGTGGCGCGGATGCACTCCCCCACAGACATGCCTCCTCTTGCAAACCCCGAACTTGCCCCTCCTTGGCAGATGGAGCACGGCTGGCGCAAGAAGATAATGACCTACGATGGACTCCACATGAGTCGTGAGGGTAACCGATTCATACACGACAACTTGCAGTGGGTGGTCAGCGATTCGTACTCCGAGATGCAGCCCAGCCACCTTCCCCTGCATTTCCCGCTGTACAGCAAAGTCGATGCGGAGCACCCAGAGGAGACGTTTGACTCCCTTTACGGGTACAAGGTCGACCGCGGCCTCCCCAGGGACGCATCGCTGCCTGCGGCCGTGCATTCAGAGACAGCAGATGCGCCTTCCAAGGTCGCGGGGCCGGCCGTGCCCAGCTCAGCGGCCGAAGGCAAAGGGGCAGGCGGCGGCAAGGGGGAGGACGAGAAAACTGACGATGTCATCAGCAGCTCTGGCGATGTGCTTGAGGCGGGCAAGGGGCTGAAAGCTCGGCGCATGCTCGCCAAGTGAAATGCGGATGATGTCCGTCTCTGTGGTGCATCACGCAGAGAGTGGAGGGACTTGGGCGCATGCCAGCGAGCAGGAAATGCTGTGCCATGTAGCTGAAGGTTTCACTTATTTCACTATTGCTTCCACATTCCAGAGCGAACAATGCTTCCGCGTGCAGTGCAGAGCACACCTGCCTTGCAGGGCGGCCCCCTCCCCCTTTCACCTGTGAATGCAGCTTGCGTGCTTCTCCTGTGTCGAGGTCTCTTTGATGCCCATCTCATCGCATTACTTGCGATCAGATCCAATCAAAACATGATACCTGTCAATTTGGAGGTTGCAGAGGCGAGGCAGGCACGCACCGCGCATAGTCACTGCTGAAAGACGCAGTCAGTGCTAGCTGTGGATGCAGCAGTGCGTCACCACGGCACAGCAATGTGTCCCCCTCTCTGCAACTTGGTGCATCTCGTCTGAGCAGATGACAAAACGCTGCGGGGAAATAAAACGGTTCGTTTGATTGATTGCGTCGTCCTTCATTGAAACCACTCTACCCTTTTTGGACTGGCACTGCCGCAATCCCTCACTTGGCCTGCCTGTCACTAAACTGGCTTCTAGGCGGCTGCTGCTTTACTGCGCTGCCCCGAAGCATGATCTTGAGCTTTGTGCCGTCGGTTCCTTGTGCTGTCTTGTGGAACATGCCCACCAAATAATGGCTTGGCTCTCTCCAACAGTCCTTGGAGTTGGTCTGCAGCTCGATCCTATTCAGCAGCTGATCAGCCGGTCCTGACTCATCATTGGGCACAGAAAATTAACGTTTTCTCAGACGGGAGCAGCTTTGATCATGCCTGGTGAACACGGGGTCAAACCGCTAAAACAAAGTGCGGGCGTGCCGAGTGTAGTTGGGCCAGCATCCATCCCAGACTAAGATCAGAATCACAGCGACACGCATTGATGCAGTTGAGTATGCACATAGAAGGGCACTTTTTGTGCATGTGCAAGGTGTACATTGGCAACAGCAATGCGTGACCACATGCATCTGCACACAGCAACCTGCAGGTGCCAATGGCAGCAATACAGATCTTGCAGCAGAGCCATCATCCAGTTTGCTTCAACCCTGCTACCACCTATCCCGCCACGACAGCTGCACCAATGCCATGTAGCCGCTGTACACTAAGCAGGACCGCCGCTGGCCAAAAAAATCAACACGGTCACCGCGAGCCGCCCTCGGGGTTCTCAAATTCAGCCGCAATGGTGAGGGCCTCGGCCCACCGTGCGAACTTCCACTGAGGTGGTTGAGGGGGTTGTGAGCATCATGCGTGATTGCGAGTGTCGTCAACGGGCAGGAACAAGGCAGTGAGACAAGAGTACGAGGGAGCGTAGACATTCGGTTGATAATTGGAAGGGGTGAGGGCTGAACGGGCTGGCAGCTGTCCAATCAACAGGCGTGTTGCGTGTGCCTTGCTGACATGCAAGCACGCCCGCCGTCGGCCTCCGCTTCAGTGTTCCTGCACGGACGCAGCCTCGGGAAGCTCACAAGCCAGGGGGGGTCACATCGCCCTCAAATCCGCCCCAGATCACACCTGCGCGAGGTCCTTGATGGTCTTGATGCGCAGCTGGGCCAGCGTCGTGTCGCTCCTGGGGAGGGGAGGGCGCAAGGCGCTGAGCTATCGTGCGCGCGCCCAGGCAGCGCAGATCTCGGCTGCAGCATCCTAGACGGCTGCAGCAGGGTGGCCTATTGCGCGCGATCGCCATCACCCTGCCTTGCCTCTGCTCGTCTGAGGCCACCCACTGGCTCAAGCTGGGGTGGGTCGTCGTCAGGGCAAGAGGGGGCTTGCGGAAGTGCGTGTGCGAGGCGCTGTGGGTGGGTGCGGGCAACCATCGCGCACCACTGGGCGAGGCCCTGCAGCGCCGAGGGCGGCGCATCCAGCAGCTCCTGGAAGCTGCAGGGTTGGATCAAGGTGGGCAGCAACGCGCGCAAAACGGCAAGTCACCACGTCAGCATGAGAGGGTACAAATGCAAGGGCCAATGCAGGAAGGCTGTTGACCAGCTGGCTCCCCGAAGACGGGGTGCATCGCGCCCAGGGCGGCAAGGCGCAACTGCACAAAGTGAAAAACCTGATGTGGGCATGAACATCGCCAAACCCTGCCCCACCTGTAGTTCTCAAACGCCTTGTCCACGCCGCTGTTGATGTTGGCGCCGCTGCCCTCAAGACGCTTGCCGGCCACCTGCTTGATGGAGGGGGTGCTCTGGGTGACCACCGTGGGGCTCGCCGCGAGACAGGGACCGGGCGAGAAAACGCGCAGGGTGCGGCCAGCGCTGCCTGTCTTTGCTGCTGCGTGACCCAGGGTGAGCTGCCAAGCCCATCAGTACGTGTCAGGTTTGCATGCACCCAGCAGCTGACACCGCCACCCCTCTGTATACATATGCAGACACAGTAACGCATGAGGGTGTGCAAGGCCGACCGCGCACCTCTGTGTCTGCCAGCACCAAGATGGCCTTCGCGAGGCGGTAATGCTTCCACGTCCCCAACGCTTCGATAGTTTTCACATTCAGGGCTGAGAAGGTTGTTCAAGCGCAACAGAGTGGACGATGCATGCGTCCTGGGTGAGGTGCACGCGGGGGCGAGGGGGCAAGGCGCCAATGCGCACCTGCGCGGCGGCACACTGCATGCACTCCGGCTGTCAGCTCAAGGGGGGGGGAGAGTGTCAGGTGGACGGATGCCATGCGTACGAGGTTTCAGGCACTTGTACTTCATCTCAGGGATCTGGTGGGCTGGAAGAATCCAGGGCCGCAGGCACCGCTCGGCTGCGGGCAGCGCACCTCCCAGCATGTCGTCGGCCGCGCCCTCCTTGAGGCCTTGAAGGGCGCCCGGGGTCAGCTTGATGATCTCCCTGGGGCGTGAGGATGGTTGTGGGGAGCTGAAGCAGGGATCACAGGGGAGGAGGGGATGCGGATGACCGACAGATGGGTCGGCCGCTGGGCTCGCTTCATGCGGCGTTGCTGAGAAGGTGGAGGTTGAGCATGGCAGCAGCGGTCATAGCCGGCGAGGGCTGAGTTATGGGGGGTGGGCGTGCACGCATGGCTGATGAGCATGCCCGATGCATCACGTCATACTCTGCGGCAGCCGTCGCCGCCGCCGACATCCCCTCGTTGATGTCCCATTTGCATGAGGTTGGGATGAGATTCGACACAATCCACCGACCTGAGTGCCTTGCCTTCGTGCGCCTTGTCCACGCAGTTAGCCAGGTTGAGGGTCGGCACCGACGGCGTTGCCATTGCCATGCATCGCAACGGCGCCTGCCTGGGAGGCGAGGGGCGACGGCGTCAAGCACGGGCTGTACCGGTAGGCGGCATTGCATGTTGGTGACTTGGACAGCAGAGCGGCGGGTCGCGCTGCGTGGGGAGGGCCTACCTGGACAGGTAGCGCGCACAGGACGCACGTACGCCCGAGCTTGAAAGCATCATGGTGAGACCGCGGCGCAAGACTTGTCGCAGGCCAATCCAGATCTCGAAGCGAAGGCTCCGGGCGCTGGTGAAGGAGATGAATCTTAGTCGATTGAGACTTCAATGGCACAACTCACCTTTGTCTTTGATGCACCAATGCGATCCTGCCTGTGATTCATGGGCATTGGTGGCTGCACCAGCACCAACTGCTGCCCGGGTGACGGCAGGTGGTCATGATGGCCATCGGTGCGGCAGCGCAGAACTTGCAAATGAATACGCCTATAAGAGCCTGAAAATAGTCAGCTATGTGCAGTGGAGGCTGCAGAAGTGGGGGTCGGCCGCCATTGCAGCAGCACCACTGGGGTGGCTGCTCATCAAAACAATGAACGTCCGATCCCATGTGGAGTCTGGATGGCTCCGGAAGCGGGCAACTTTGGAAGCTGTTATAATGAAAGTCCCATTAAACCCCATCCTATCCTGACGTAGCATCATGGCAGGGGCCGTGTGGGTATGCTCAGCCAATCGTGTCATCAAAAATGCGCAGTTGGTCACCATGCCGATTCTGCAATGTGCCCGTGCATACTGAGGACGTGCCTAAGGGCAGCAGGCAGAACTACAATCATTTTAAGTGATAACCCCCCATTTCACTGACACTCAACTTGATCTAGAACAACACCTCAGAATATCTGCTGAGTTGTCCGCATCAGATGCATTTGAAGGTGTGATGTTGTTGCAGCACCACTGGATACACAGCGTGCACATCCCAGCAGGGGCAAGAACCAGGCTGCGCCGCTTGCTGTCGGGCGCCAACATCCTGATGCCCTCCAGAAAGCTGATGCAGGAGGGGGCAGGGAGCCTTTGATGGTGCCCATGTGAAAGGCTGGTCAAATGGGTGATGATTGGTGGCAGCAACATCTGAATGGGAGCCCATGAGTTCCCGCTCCCTTCCCTCTCTCGATTATGATGCTGGGCTGGGGGGTCAACACCCCCTCACCCAAGGCCTTGACCACACAACACGGGCTCATGGCGTGGCGCGGGCGGCCTGCGCCGCGGTGCGACCTGCCCCCCCTCTCCTGCCATCCCACCAGGCCCGTGTTCCTGCCTCCCATCCTAGGGGGCCCCTGAAGATGCTGCCGTGAGGGTACAGCGTGCCCCGTAAACCCTTCACCCTGAACAAGGCAATCTTGGCATCACTTGTTTTCAGTGCTCCCTTGCCCGTACATGATTTCCAGGGGCGCCTGGTCACACTGTCACTGGTGAGATACCGTAGAACAGCAACCAGCCTGACTCAACCGACACGCAGCGCTGCCGACATCAAGTACAGTAGGGCGCATCTAAAATGTATGAGTGACCTATTTGTAAGAAGTGGACGCTGGCCAGGATCGGTCGAAGGTTTTCGCAGATCTACAGTAGTCGCGTGCAACACCACTTGCCTTGCGCTGTAATATGAAGTACAAACAAGAAGCCGATTGATTGGGACGCGCAGCGCTTGTGCGATTCGCAGGCGAACGTGCTCCTGCAGCAGCAATGCGCCGCGGCGTGCAGCAGATCGTGGGCCCGCAGGCTCGCAGGCTCGCCGCTGCGCTGACCGAGGGCCAGGCCAACGCCACAGGTCTGTAGCCACTCTGTAGCGAGCGTGTCACCTGCGCAGCTCGTGCCGCGCGTGCCCTTTGCCCCGTTTCGGCGCCATCTTCAACAAGCAGTCCCCTGTGTACCAAATGCCGTGAGCCCCGGCCGTTGCCGGGCCACACAGTCCCGCGCTTTGCTGCACTCACCCCTCTTGGCGCGCAGGCATAAGCAAGGCTCGCGCCGCCTCAACCGCTGCCAAGCCCCCGGCTGCTGCGACGAGCGCGGCTCCCCAGCCGCCCGCAGCGGCAAACGCCGTCACCAATGGCGGTAGCAGTGGCGGCGGCGGCGGCGGCGGCGGCAGCGGCGGCGGAAGCGCGGGTGTGCTGCTGTTCGGCGTGATTGCGGGTGCAGGGGGGTTCTACGCATACGACAGAGAGAAGACCCCGCTGGAAAATGCAGCGGCGCTCAAGGCGCGCGCAGCGGCGCTCCCAGAACGCCTCTCATCAATGCTGAACGGCCGCGGCGGCAGCAGCGACGGCGGGGACAAGCCGCCGCAGGACGCGGGGCCTGCGGGCGCCTTGCAGCACAGGGACTCGGACGACTTTGTGGCGCTACCAAGCGGGGCGCAGCCGGGCCACGATAATGATGGGGCGGGCAACGAGGACGCGGCGGCGCGGAGGCTGGAAGATGACTCGCTCTCTGCAGCGGCGGACGAGTTCCCCGGATCCGTCCCGCCGGCTGCCTCGGAGTCAACCCCGCCGGCTGCCCCGGGCGCAACCGCGACGGCTGCCTCGGACGCGGACGCTGGCGGAAAGGAGGAGCGTGGCTCGGAGACCGAGGGTGCCGTGGCGCCGGCAGACGGGGGCGAGGTGCCGGGGGTGCAGATTGACGCGGCGCCCATAGAGGAGTTGCTGAGGGAGGTCTATGCCGGCACCGCCGCAGCTGGTGGCGCTGTGTCTTTCGCAGCAAGCGCGGCTGCGGGCGCCGCCACCTCTGCGGCAGAGGAGGCCGCCCACGCAGCGGCTGCAGCGGTCGCGGCGGCGATGGACGCTGCGGCCGCGGCTGCGGCTGCGGCGGCGCCAGCAGGGGATGCGCCCGGGGGCGAGGCGCAGGGGCAGCGGCGCAGTGCGGGGCCAACGGCTAGGGAGGCAGGGAGCGAGGCGGCGGCTGCCGCAAGGGCTTGGCTGCCCAAGAGCATGGGCGGAGAAGAGCAGGTGAGGGCCGCCCCTGCCCTCCTTTGTCAGGGCTGGTCAGGAGTAGAATCAGGATCACAGCGCACCGCGATCGCCCACCTTTGGAGCCCCACGCTCTCTTGGAACTGGAGTTTGGAGCATCCAGTTGTGCGACTGAGGTTCAGGTGGCTACCCTGCAACGTTCGAAGCGGGCGTGCAGGAAGGCCCAAGTCAGGGGCAAATGCATGGTGCAGGGCCAGCCGCCCGCATTGCTCCGTCGCCACACTTTCAACAACACCGCATGGCTGGGCTGGATGCTTCCCCGCGCACGCTCATACACAGGAACTGACCCCGTCAGCCCTCCTGGCCGCCGCCTCGGCCGCGGGCTACGGGCCGAAGGACGACTGGTCGGCAGCTGCCGCCCAGCTGCGTCAGGCGACGGTGGATGCTGATGCGATGACTCTCGTTCTACAGGTGGGATGCGCCTCGTCTCGTAAGGCCGTGACTGTCTGTTTATGATGGCCATCGCCGCTTGCACCCCACAGAATGGTGGCCTCATGCGCGTGCAGCCCGTCCTAGCAGTCAGGGCTGCGTGCCACAACGGCATGCGCCCTCATACTTTTCGCGAGTGTGATTTGTGAGGGCGGCGTGTGCCGGCACCACCTTCGTGGCCTGTGCGTGCAACCCCTCGTCTGCTGCCGCAGGGGCTTCTGCAGAAGCAGCAGCAGCTGGAGGCCGCGCTGGCGCAGGAGCGAGCGGCGCGCGCAGAGACCGGGTCTGAGGCGGAGCGGCAGGTAACGCACGGCTGACATGTGTATCAACGCGCTTGGCCCAAAGTACCACTTGCTGCGCAGCCTTGAACATGTGTGCCTGCTGGAGGCTTGGTGGACCAGCTCCAGCTGGTGCAAGACGTACGTTGATCCCCGCACCCGCTTTGCGGGTCTGCACGCGCGTGACCGGCACCTCAAGCTGCATTCCCACCCACGGCCTCTTCTCATCCACCCATCACCTTGACTCACCCCCCCAGGCTCAGGCCCTGTCTCACAAGTTCAAAGCCCTCCTGGCACAGCAGCAGCGCACACATGATGACATCCGCGCAGCAGCGGTGAGTTCATGCCCCACTGGCGCATTGGCCCCACAGACACAGATAATTCAAGGTGATTTGGAAGCTCAGGGGTACGATCGCAGCTTGCCAAAATGTGCGCTTGCAAACATCCCACTGCTCATAGGTTCACGCAGCAGAGGAGAGGGTGGCAGCGGATGCTGCGCGGCACCAGGTGGGTGGGGCCTCGACAGTCGCAGGCACTCACGGGACCAACTTCAGAAAGGGCCGACGGTGGGACCCACCCGCTATCTGCGCAGCGTCAGAGGCCGGGGTTGCGACTTGAACTGCTTTATGTGTGCAGGCGCCCAAGCATGAGCGGCATGCGGTCTTGCACTCGATAGATTGTCTTGCACTGTGGCTCCTCCGCTTTGCGCGCCTTCAGCGTGCTGGTCCGGGTGCACCGGTGGGCGGCGTGCAGCCATCAGATATGTGCATCCACACCCTCACCCCCCCCCCCCTTCCGGACCCCTTCCTCCCGCGATCATGGGCAGACTGCGGAGAGGCTGGAGCGCAGCAAGTCCCTGGATGCTGTGCGGGACCAGGTGCGGCCGGCAGCCTTGCCAGACAGCATTGGACGCCTTGTTTTGCTGTTTGGGCACACGTACTGCTTGCAGCACTCAATAAACTCTACATTCTCGCGCCAAACACGCACCTAGAGCCAACAGCAGGCGAATTGCAACGGCAGTTTCACCGTACAACCAGGCTCGCCAACCGGATGCTGCACCCCTGCTAAATCCCAATTGTTCAACTTCAACCCCATGCCTCCGTTGTTTCTGCACGTGCATACTCATGGCACCCGCTGTTGCTCTTGACTTGCCATGCCGCAGGTCAACACTCTGGGAATTGCCCTCGCGCGCCGCAGCGAAGAGGCGCAAGCCGCCTCTACTGCCCACAAGGCGGCCCTGGGGGCGCTGGCCCTGGCGCGTGCCCTGGAGGAGGGGGCCCCGCTCAAGCCGGAGCTGGGGGTGGGTCCCAGATTAGGGAGCGGTGGGGATGCGCAGCACGCATGACACGTTGACACTCCACGTCCCTATGATATGCAGGCAGGCTTGGCTGAGGAAGCACGTGCGCGTCATTGCTCTTGCCACTGGCCCTGGTTGTTGTGGATGCACACGCTTGGTTGCCATTCGCGCTGACCAGAAACTGTGGCGGTCTCTTGGCTTGACATCGTCGTCGTCTGAAGCTGCACAACCCTTCTCTTTCGTGTGCCCTTTTCACTCTGAGCAGGCTCTGGAGGCGGCCGGCATCATCGACCCAGTGGTTTCAGCCGTGGCCAGCTCTTTGCCGTCGTCAGCCTCGGCCGCGGGTAACCGGGGATTTGCGGCCACGCGTGGGCGCACGTGCCGGGCACAGCAGCTGGATTGGTCCCCCTTTACTTTGCTACAAGCAGCATTGAATGGGCGAGGGGGCGTGAGTCGAATACGCTGACTTGCCGCATTGTTATGCCCAGTCAGCACAACTACTCATCCCACACCCTTGGGCTCCCTCGCTTCTCGCTGTCAACCTGTGCACCACCTCACCCCTTTGCGCAAGCAGGACTCCCTGCCTTCGGGCAGCTAGAGCAGCGGTTTGAGAAGGTTGCAAAGTAGGTTGGAGCGCATTGCTAGATGGGGCGGGCCCCATGTCCAACCTCGGCTGTCATGGCACCCACATCGTGCGAGGGGTGCGGTGCAAGAACCCATTCTACCGCACATTCTTGATTGATTTCTCAACCATATTGCGTGTACAACCTTTGACCACAAACACACATCACGTTTGTGTCGTGTACACCGCCTCCCCCGTCGGCAGGCTCACACGGCAGCTGTCCTACTTCCCGCCCAACAGTGGCGGCGGTCCTCTGTCTTACGCCGTAGCTGGCGCTGCGGCTACGCTCAAGGTGGACGTGGGTCATGACGGCGGGTTGGGAGTGGACTCGCACATCGCAGAGGTGGGTGACATGTGTCGTGGCACAATCGACCGCCAGCGCTCCTGGTGCACATCCACTCCCGCTTATCTTGCACGCGTTGCCATTTGGGGCTGGCCGCTTGAACACCCAATGTATGTGCCTCCAGTTGTCCTAGCCTGCAGATCGATGCATCACACACATGACACCATGCAACCCCTCTCCACCTCCACGCCACATCAATGTTGCGTCAGGCACGCTTCCACTTGCGTGCTAAAAACCTGCTTGCTGCAGCGGACGCTCTATCTGCGGCAGCTGCTGGCAGCGAGGCGGCGGGGGCCGTGCAAGGCTGGGTGGATGACGCGCGTGCCCGGGCCCTAGCAGACCAGAATGCACGGCTGCTACAGGCACATGCCATGTCGACGGCGGTGGCGCTAGCTTGATAGCAAGTGTGGTAATCAGTCGCAAATCATTTGTACAGACATGAGAACCATGCCCTGCTTTGATCGCTCGCGTGTTGTGCATGGGTCCCTGCTTTTGCGCGTGGTGCCGGGCTCCCCCCTCTGCCCCGAACGACGTTGAGGTTGGGGGGAGAATTGCGGCGTTGTGGCTTGGAAGACGGCGGTTTCTTGGGGTTTCCCGCGGCCGCAGCCCTGCCTAGTACCTGTGTGTCTGCCTGATCCTTGCTCTCAGTGACTGGCCACAAGCTCTAAGTCTGGTTTTTGGTAACAAACGCAAAGCAAAGATGCCACGCACTCGAGAGTGAGCAGTGGCCATATTGATTGCAAGTGATTTCAACGAGGCCCTTGTCTGAAGCCGACCCTGTTCTTGATTGGCCCGGGGTTTCTGTATGGGTGGGTGGTGCGCCCCCCCGAGCTGCGGTCGCTGTGGCCGTGTGCGTTCTGCGGGTTGGCGCGCCCGGTGCCCTGCTTTGATCGCTCGCGTCTTATGCATGGGTCCCCGCGTTTGCCCGTGGTGCCGGGCTGCCGCCCTCTGCTCCAAACGACTTTGAGGTTGGGGGAAGGGTTGCGGCGTTGTGGCTTGGAAGATGGCCCTCCACTCACAGCCGCCGTTTGGCTGTTGGGGGACTCGGGTGCATGGCGGCCGCAACGGGCCCATGCAGGCCTTTGACGCAGCCTTCGCACCGCCATGCTCTCGTCGGTCTGGGGGCTGCGCACACGCAGGCTCGCCACGCCGCGGGCTTGCAATTTGCCCCCACTGATGTGGGCCGGGACTTCACTGCGGCCATGCGGCGCCTCGTGCGCGCCGACTGGCTGCGAGCTACGACGGACATCACCGACATGCAGGGCGTGCGGCAGAGCTGATTCCCCGCAGCAAGGCAGCGCAGGCAGTCCTCAGTTGTCGACTTTTTTATAGACAGTCGGTTACACGGGGGTAGCGAGGTGCCGAGCACCTGCGTGGAACCTAGATATTAACAGGTGAGCTGTGGCCATGTGCGAGGAAGCCCAACGCGCGGCATGCGCGAGAGGCGTGAGCAGGGCCGATATGGCACCGGGGGGAAACCCACCAAACCCCGCGATTAAGCCACAGGACCGGACCGTTCCCGTCAGCACCACGATAGCTTGAGAACCGTGGGCGTCAGGTAGCTCGGCACACAGGCTACACCGCACGCTGCAAGTGCGTCGCCACGCCCGCATGAGCGGCGACAGCCTTATGGCTGAGTAAAGAGGTGCGCGGGGCCCGGCTGGGGCCGGCGACCACCCGCCG